TTCTAAAGTTGAAGAAAAAAAAACATGGCATCTCACCTAACATTGAAAATATCGATATATAGAGAATTGTTCGTATATGTTTTAGCACTAGCAGATTCTTTATGAGGGACAGTACATGTTTTCTGTATTGGTTTATCGACTAGATTAATAGCAAAAGTTAATGGGAAAAACCTGTACTTAAATCTTTATGGGAAAAAAATTACAAACCCCAGACCTTTGTTTAAACTAAAAGTGCGCGAAATTATCATGTAATATGCGCCCAAAATGAATAATAATATGAATCAACATATTTTTCCAAAATCTTTTCAATAACGGGTTTATAAATAAGCTTGTTGGATTCAGAAAATACTAGAAGGGTGCATGCATGTTTTTTCTAATTATTAATTTTTAATTTTTTTTTCTTCATTTTTTTTATGTCTCCGAGATACAGAAAATTGTAGCTGCACCTTCATGTTTAAAAATCTTTATGTATGTCATTAACATCCTTCAGAATATGAGCTTTAAGGTTCATTGATACTCTGATAAGAGAGATAACTCTTAATGACATAAATGTCTATTATTCCTTTATAGATTTTCCAAGTTGAAGTGTCGTTTTTGTCCAATTTTGCCCCGCAACCTATGCTATAATTGTTTGTATTTTACTTATAAAATACATTTCTTTTAAAAAATCATTAAGATTCAAGCTACATTTTATAAGAATGAGCAGACTGAGAGGGTTTCTGAACCTTAATATAATAATCAATAGATACATGCCCAAATTATATTAGTTTATTTCAATTTTACGATTTAATTTGGGAGTAGGATAATATTAATTTCAGATTCATGTTAAATTTTTCAGATACAAGTAATTCCGACCATGTTGCAGAAATGACATGAATCATTTATTACGTTTGCAGAAAAATTTCTGATCTGCAATATGTTAAAAGATCTATGATTTTTAGTGACGTACTAGTATAACCACTGATGTAATGTTAATGATGATGGAAATTCAGTTAACGATCCATAAATAACTCATACACCAAAGTTCGGATTATATGTTAATCTGATAAGTAATCCCGTTCGTCTGTATGTTGCAGAATTCTTTTTATATCGAAGATTAATCGTTGCAAAAACATAAAAGCTATCATCGTTGCTGTCGGACTTGATTACTTTTGTTGCAAACCCGATGTCACAAACGAATTTGATTATGTATTGTTTACGTACATCGTTTGTAATCAAATGAGTTTTCTCTACAAGATTAAATCACAAATACTTTATCAGACGGGGCGTTGACTGATTTGAGATATAGATGAAATGAAATGTGCAGCTGTCACGCCAAGTGCAAGAGATGTTGATATCCAAATACACGTTAGATTAATTACATGCACATGCTTCTTACAGGAAAATTATCCTTTATAAATTAGCTCTGTCCATCTTTTGAGAAATTTTAAGGTAGATTATTTTCACAATGCTTACTGTGATGTAACAGTTGTAAATTTTGAATTTACTAGGGGAGATAAATGTAAAATTTACAACATGGTTTTACTAAGAAAGTAAGCATCCATTTCTCTCGGATTGTAGAAGATATAAGATACATGTTAAGCTTCTTTTTTTTTCGACTTATTTAGCACCGTCGGCCCCCCATTCTTAGGGAAATAATGATTATCTTTGATTAGAAGTAATATTAATATTATTTTCAAATTCAACATCAGCTGTTTTCGAAGAACATTCTAATGCTCTGACTGAAGGTTACCGGGGTAATAAACACGGTCATATAACAAACGACTATCAATATACATGTAAAATAATTACATGTACTATTTTGATATCTTTTATGAATACAAAAGTTTCTTCAGTTATTAAGATTTTTTTAATCTATAAAATTAACCTATATACTTAATTAAAACAATGTAAGACACATGATTTTATCATGTTGAAAATTTGATTTTATTTCCACCCAATAAATTCAAAATTTACAATCATGATACTTATTTCCTGCCACTTGAAAAGTCAAGCTTTGGTCAATTACAAGTTTACGGCCCATTCATATACATCATAAATTTCACAGGTGCGATAAAAAAAATATTTATCATTTACAAGTATATGTATTAAATTGATTTGTGACAATTAAAAAATATAAGTGGCCTAAAAATTTTAATTCATCTTCCAGATATTTATACTAAATCTGAAATCGAATTGATAAAGGTGGGGGATATGTTTTTTTTCCCTGTAATTTAGTATGCAAAAGTCTATTGAAAGGCCGTTTGCACTCCTTCTCACTTTTTTTAGGATTTTTACAAAATTATCTGCTGAGAGTCTAATTAATTAAATAATTTAATCTGTTAATTCAAGATATATATTAATATACAGAGAAATTATTTCTTTGCTTGAGACCTCAATACACTGTTATGAACAAATATTTACTATATGTTAGAAAGCATCTGTTTTATAACAGAATTACAGTTCATGATCAAGTCAATCATCAACTAATCAAGGAATTTGAATATTATTATAATATGACATTATAATATTATTATAAATAAATTTCTCAATTACTTAATGTAAAAATAAAATGAAAATACTGCAAACTTTTTTCCCTTCTTTTTATTTACGGAATTTATGTTCGGGTTCAACATTACATTTAAAAGCATCGGGATAGTGTTTCGCATAATGCTTACACATCATAACAAGAGAAATCTGGTAATGTTTCCTTCGTCGTTTAAATGTATTCAATTTGCAGCAAAAAGATGACAGTGATTTGTTTGAAAAAAAAAAAAAGTTCACGGGCACTTGTTGCGTTTACAGGGTGCCCCTGCATGTTATCTCAGCGGGATGTCGTAGGAACTAAACATTTTGCAGGTCCAGGAAAATCACTATATTTAGCTATATAGCTTAATTTACCTATATAGCTTTATTTACCTATATAATATAGCTTTATTTAGCTATTTTGGAATAAGTTTTTGTTTTATGAAAAGCAGACAAAAAGTCGCATGTAAATTATGGCTGGTATATTTTTTAAAAGGTTTGATAAAAACAACCCAGGGAATAAATAGTAAAAACATTGCCTCTTTCAAACACTTTTTAACCAAAAAATGTATCTCTATTGTTTGGATAGCTGGAAGTGTGGTGAGGCATGACTAAGTGTGATTGCCTTGCATTGTGCTCAATTATTACCAATCAATTATCTTGTTGATCAAAACTGCTTTTCTTTGTTAAAGTAACTGCTTACTCACAGATTTACTGTTATACATAGCCCCAAAGCTCTTATATCTTTGATTGCAATTGCACAAAAGGAGAAACATTTTTATAAGTGGGTTTTTTGGTGAATTGTTTTCAGTCCATTTCAAAGTTTAAAACTAATATTGCCTCATTTTGCGACTTTTTGTCTGCTTTTCATAAAACAGAAATTTACTCTGAAATAGCTAAATAAAGCTATATTATATAGGTAAATAAAGCTATATAGGTAGATTTAGCTATATAGCTAAATATAGTGATTTTCCTGGACCTGTTTTGGTCTGGTGTCCTCTCGACACTAGACAGGTCTCATACAATCACTAGATTTAGCTACGTAGCTTGATTTACCTGCTTAGCTTTATTTACCTACTTGAGGTAGCTTTATTTAGCTACCAAATCAATTTATTTCTATAAAAAGCATTTTTCTCAATTCTCGGGGTATGCAGAAAATATCACTTTGATGAAGTGATCATTTTCAACTTTGAAGTCTTCTGAAAACAATTCATTAAAAGAAATCACTCTTGAAGAAATGTCTTTTTCTGCGCAATTGCAATCAAAGTTTTGAAAGTTTTGGGGCTATGTATGACAGTTAGAACAGTTACTCCTTGAATGAAATGACAAAGAAGTCCAGTTCCAGTTAACACAATAATAGGTCGCCATCGGTAATAATTCAGCACAATGTGAAGTAATCATACTCAGTCATGCCTCACTGCACGCATGAGAGAGGTCAGTTAACCAAACAATGGAATTACATGTTTTGCTCTAAATTGTCCAAACGCAGCATTGTGCTTTGGATTGTTTTTTTAAACCTCCCTAGTATAAATATTAATGTTCATTTAATTGCGATTTTCTGTCTCTTTTTAATAAAAAGAGAAATTTTGAAAAGTTACATTGAAATTTAATAGCTAAATGAAGCTACTCGAGGTAGGTAAATAAAGCTACATAGGTAATTCTACCTACGTAGCTAAATCTAGTGATTGTATTGGACTAGCTCGACAAAATTTTTTTAGTCCCTATGACATCCAGCTAAGATTACCCTGCGTGAACTTAATATTTTATTTCTTTGGGCCTAGGTTTTTAGGCTAGCATTAACAAGTCCAGTCCAAAGACTATTTTTATTTGTAAACATGTTTGTTGCTATTAATAGCTACGTACATGTACACTAGGTATTTGAACCTACCTAAACTTTGTTTAAGTAGTCATTTTTACCTACTTTTTGCTTTACTAACATTTTGTGGCCAAACGCAGGAACGGCGCAATATGGCGAGCACAAAATTTCTTGATACACTCACAGTGATGATAAACATATGACAAAATTTTGGCCAAAAAATGGTTAATTGTATATTAAAAAGTTTACATATACATTTACATTATTTTTTTGATTGGAAAGAAAACATTCAAGAATATATCGTATGAAGGACAACACCTTTTCTTGGCTTTGTTCATTTTAGATATCTATTGGAAATAAAAATATAACATATACCACTCCCATGTAAAGAGACTACTTAATGATTAGTAACATGTTTGTTTGAAATCACACATTTATAAAATTCTTTCTGTTTCACTCTCTTCTTAAGGAAATCACTGGTGATAAGTGTACTGTAAACATGTTTGATTGATATCACACCTTTTCATAAATCTGTTAATTTTACTCATTTTCATGTAAAACTCGTTAATGAAAAATGCAGGTGTATCATATTTGTTTGAAAACACACCTATTTAATTAACTCCTTTGTATAGAGACTTCCTAGTAGAGAGAAATGGTGAGAAAAGCTTTCTATTTGCAATTTTATGCTCATTTAGTCCTTAGAATATCTATTTCTTTTCTACTTACAGACCTTCCACTCATGAGAATACAATAACAATTCATCTTCAAGTCAGCTGAATTTAATTAAAGTACATAATGTATTAATTCTGAGAATGTAATATTATCCAAAGACATAAGGATGATGAGGAAAAAATAGATCACAAGGTCTCTAAGTTTAGATAAACTTTGAAAAGTTCTCTTAGAATCAAGATTACTGACATGAATATTCAGGGGCCACTACGAAAATGCATCATGTGTCATGTGTGCAATTGCAAGAAGGCTAGGACTAGATTTGTTCCACTTCAATACATGAGTGCCAAAAAGTACCACCCTAGTAAAAACTCCTTTTATAAGAAAAATAGCACAACTGGTGGCATACTGAGTGATCCAGAAAATAAAGGGGAAAGACAACAGGGGGTGAATTTTGATACCCTCGGTAGCTGGAACAATCGCATCAATATGCCAATAGCAGTGGAAAAGAGCATCAAGATGGGAAAATTAATTCCCGAAATCCCTCTGGAGGAAGTCGGGGTAGCCTCTCACATGGGGAGAAAAACAGTGAATGAGGATAGGTATATTGTGGAGAAAATTTCACCGGAGATTCTTTGCTTTGGGATTTTTGATGGACACGGTGGAGATTTGGCATCTGAGTATGTGTCTCAGAATTTACCATATTTTATCAAGCATTGGTTAAGACAAACAGACGATCTAAATGAGGTGCTGACACAGTCTTTTCTGGACATCAACAATATGCTGACTCGTCACTTAAATTTTTACTATATAGGTAAGGACAGCTACAATAATTGTATATTATTAAAATCATCTTTCAAATATTAGCAATTCTTGTCACATATTTGGCTTTATGTGCGTGTAATGAAAAAAGGATGAATGAATATCATCTATGTATTTCCATTTTCATTAAGGCTCCCCACTGTACAACTGTGGTACCACAGCAACAGTTTGCCTGTTGCATCATGGGATAAAGCTCCATGTTGCTCACGTTGGAGACACAAGGGCTGTGTTATGTAGAGAGAGTCATGCTGTCAGGTTAACAGAAGATCACAACCCTGATGACCCAAGGGAAATTGAACGTATCACTAAGAGTGGGGGGTTCATTGTCAGCAATAGTTTAGGTGTTCATCAGGTATGTTCTTCAAGATGGTTAGGTGTAGAATCAACAATATAATCATCCATTTTTTGGGGGGTCCACCTAGTGTAGAACTTATAAGTCATTCTTAATCATAATAAACTAGAAGCATACGCAAGCAGCATAAATGTAACTCTCTTCAAGTCATTACCCCTGAGGCCAAGGTTGGGCCAAAGTTACAAAAAGTTAGAAAGATATATAAAACATGTTTAAAAATCTTCCATTCTATTTAATTTTTTTTTTTTAGATTTAAAATTCATTTATAGCTTATTTATGAAATAAAATCTATTTATATATTTAAATTTTATTTAATAAAAAAATCTTATTTATATTATTTAAATTTAACTTTATATATACATGTATGTGAACATATATATTCAATATTCTATTCATGATTTTTTTCATCTTTCATGTATTGTCAGGTTGATGGGAGATTGTCCATGACAAGAAGTATAGGAGATATTGAGTTAAAGAGTAGAGGAGTGATCGCAAAGCCATCACTTAAAACAGAGACCGTAAGTGTCTTCAATAATTTCCATGTCTCACTCATGTTTATCAAATGATGATTAATGATTTTGAAGATAAGATTCAATGATGTTGAGTCCTGGTTGAGACTTGATTTTTCACTAACTGTGACATTTGCCACTTTATGTACAAAATCCACTATGGAATATGCTTCACAAATTTCTTTACTCGTCAAATTCAAGGACAAATCTCTACAAAGAGGTGGAATATATCACTTGGTTCACAGGTGCAATTTCCACCAAATATCGTACACGCCAAATATAATACATTTACAGTATATCACTTGGTTCACAGGTGCATGAAAGTCAATATATTGGGTCTCAGGGGTTAGAGTGCTGGCATGGTACCCAATAGCCCTGGGTTCAAGTTCTCATTGAGACTTCATTTTTCACCACATGCAACATTTGCCATTTCAGAACTGAATTGGTACTTATGTTGGACCATAAAAGTACATTGGTCTACAGTTAGTAAACTTACAGAAGGTGATAATTGCCACATGAAAGATTTCATAGAAATCCCAAAGCACTTTCAAAGTTTTAACATATCCCTGACAGTTATATCACAATTAAGTTTTACCTAAACTTATCCTTAATTGCTGGCTATGTGAGATTTTGTAGTAATTAGATTTTTAGGTCACCTGAGTTAACTTAGGTGACCTATTGCTATCTGTTTTTGTCTGTCATTGTACGTCGTTCATCTGTCATTTTTAGCTTCTTCTCTGGAACCACAGAACCAATTTCAACCAAATTTGGTATATTGCATGTATGGTTAAAGGGAAACAAAATTTGTGAATTTCATGGTCCCTGCCCCCTGGGGCCTGAGGAGTGGGGCTAAAAATACCAAACTTAATGCAGTCTTTAAAAATCTTCTTCTTCACTTCTGGACATCAAGCAATTCAACTGTTGGCATGATTGTAATAAGCAGTAAACCCTTTATTTGTAAAATTAGTGGCCCCTTGGTCAGGCCAAGTTTAAGAAATTCTTTGTTTGCTGTTGCTGAGCTATAATTTTTAGACTGGGTAGGTAGGTAGGTATTTTTTTTAAATTTTTCGATTTTTTCTTACTAGAAAACAAATAATAGAGCTTTTTATATGCCTACTTACGGAAGCGTATTAGTGCCACTTGGACACTTCACTTTTTATACCCCCCGCAAACGAAGTTTAGGGGGGGTATATTGGAATCACCATGTCCGTCTGTCCGTCCGTCCGTCTGTCTGTCTGTCTGTCTGTAGACGAGATTTTGTCCGGACGATTTCTCAAAAACTGTTGGAAGGATTTGTCTGAAAATTTATACACATATTATTCACCATATGAAGGTGTGCACCTGCTATTTTCATATTGATTGGATCATTATTTTGAATTTTACAGGTGTTTTTTCATTTTTATTTTGTGGTCTTGTGCAGACCGTTTCTCACAAACTATTGCAAGGATTTATCTGAAAATTTGCACACTTATTATTCACCATATGAAGGTATGCACCTGGAATTTTCAACTTTATTTGTTAATTTTTCTGCATTTTACAGTTTTTACTTTTTATTTAAATTGACTTGTTCATTTTTGGCTCATTTATAAGGTTTGAGAGATAGAATCTAGAATATCTGTACAAAAATGTGAACTAGTACAGCTTAAAACAACTCATTAAAACTAAAAAAAAGAAACATCATCAAGTGTTTAAAACAGTTTTTACATTACATAGAAGATAATGTAAATTCATTTGTCTCTTGGGAATAATGACTGGACATGCATCCAGTTAAAGATAGATTAATGAGTTTGGTGTTGGAGGTTGTTAAGGCATATCTCTTATCAAGCGTGTGTGTGTTATCAAATCTCCAGGGAATAAGGCACAAGAATTAAAGATCTCTCTTCTCTTATTCTCTTAATTGTAATTTATTGTCTGTCAAAGCACTTCATTACTGGATGACCAGCTTTTTATTTTCAAAATGAATGATATATCAAGATTAATTTGATTTTGTATAATGATTTTTTTTTTCAACAATTTATAGTTTGCAGTGTCATGACACATAATTGCAATATATTTCTTTAATGCAGAAATAAAAAAAATGTTACGATTGAATTACAATGTATTAGTATTGATGTTGCACTTTTGTTTCACTCATGAAGAAACATAATGAGCACTTATATTTTACTGTAAATTTTTATAAGTAAATAGTGAACACCTCTAGATCCATAAAGTATTTTTGAATTGGCACCTTCTCTGAAAAACCCAGCGGGGGGTATTTGTCCCTATTGGACAGTTCTAGTTTTAAATTTCTACACTTTAATCTGTAAATTTTACATTTTAATCTGTAAAATTTACACTTTAATCTGTAAATTTTACACTTTAAAGTGTAAATTTTACACTTTAAAGTGTAAATTTTACACCTTAATCTGTAAAATTTACACTTTAATCTGTAAAATTTACACTTTAATCTGTAAATTTTACACTTTAATCTGTAAAATTTACACTTTAATCTGTAAAATTTACACTTTAATCTGTAAAATTTACACTTTAAAGTGTAAAATTTACACTTTAATCTGTAAATTTTACACTTTAATCTGTAAAATTTACACTTTAATCTGTAAAATTTACACTTTAAAGTGTAATATTTACACTTTAATCTGTAAATTTTACACTTTAATCTGTAAATTTTACATTTTAATCTGTAAATTTTACATTTTAATCTGTAAATTTTACACTTTAATATGTAAAATTTACACTTTAATCTGTAAATTTTACACTTTATTTGTTAATTCACATAGTCAAGTTAGCAACTTCACACATCCTCAGTAACGCATTTTAAAGCCATAGACCGTTAATCATGCAAGATAGTATTTAATTCTGATTTTTTATTTTACAATAAATGCAAATGATAAGCAAATTAGTATTACTGATACAAGTAAAACTTTTCTTAGAATATAAAAGAAGAGCATATCAAACTTACATGTACGTATTGTAAGCTCCCTGGGAATGGCCAAGCTTAAGTCAGGGATGCTACAAAATAAATACTGGTAGTACTCATGTACTAAAATCCTTGTTCCTCTGGTTATAGGGAAACCATAAGATTCGTCTTGGTCTCAACAATATATATTATTCATAAATCAGCACTCATTTCAAAAAGGTACAATAATAAATTTTGGTGGCGTCTACCGTACAGGCTACTATTATGAAAAGAGGGGGGGGGGGGTGTACAATGACTAAACTAGGATAATCCCCACAGTTAATTTCAATTAAATAGGTGTCCAGTGTGTTGGGAGATAATTGTCGATCATTTTCTCACCTGAAATCACAATTGTAATACTGCATAAGGCTATGATGAAAATATGGGCGGATCTTGGATTTGTCTCTTTGAAATGTACGCGCCTGACAACTCGGCAAATTATCTGTTTACATAATGAAATCGGCCCCTATATATAACCTTCGGAAAAGGGTCACATGACTAGATTCAACCAATAAAAATGCTGTATGGTGACGTTCCACCAATCACGACAATGTACGACATCGTACAAAATGAAAATCGTGTCGTACTGTCGGACAAAATTGTCGTACAACTTGGATTATAAACAAACCCTGGAACTAACATGTGAAAAGACAACATAATCAATAAATATGGATAACAAGAGATGTGTCTAGAATACGTAAGTAAACAGTTTATATCAGAAACCTGTAAATTTCACATAAATAACTTTGCTGAGTATGCAGACGATATCGCGGATGGATAAGAATATAGTGCAAGTAGTAGACACATGTAATCAGGAATAATAATGGCTAAAATGAATAGTAGAACCCACAATAATAATTAACATAATAAATAACAAGTAATTATGCCTGTGATATAGCATCAATAACAAGTTTGGTAAAATACGAAACTGTGTACATAGCATGCGCCGATATAAAGATGGCGGGCAGAATGTAAACAAGTGGCATGGCAGCGGATAATTCAAACTATTACAGCTAATCCAGACATGTAGAACTGCTAAGATAATGACAGTTAACTCAAGAAATACGTGCAGATTTAAGATGAGAGGTAATTAATTCATGGCATGTAAAAATAAATACAAAATCTAACATTCTCGGCCAATGTTGTCACAACGTTTTGACACACGTGGAATATCATCACAAGTAAAGTCCACCCACCCAATAACTATTACACATTACAACAAGTTAAGTTATAGACACCTGACAGGTCCTTACAGTATTCTCAATGAATGTGATATTGATATCATCATAGGCAAATTCGTTTAATGAAGTTCAATTATTGAATCTGTAATTTACGGCAACAGTTAAATTAATTGAATTTTTTTAAATAACCAAAAGTAAATACATGTACGTATATAAATAACTAAAGGATGTTTATATTAATTTTGGAACGGCAACGTTATTTATCGACCGTTTGATTATAACCGATAACAGTTCAGGTTGTTCAAAATAAAGTGTAAAATTTACAGATTAAAGTGTAAAATTTACAGATTAAAGTGTAAAATTTACACCTTAAAGTGTAAAATTTATACTTTTAAGTGTAAAATTTACAGATTAAAGTGTAAATTTTACAGACTAAAGTGTAAATTTTACAGACTAAAGTGTAAATTTTACAGACTAAAGTGTAGATTTTACACATTAAAGTGTAAAATTTACACTTTGAAATGTAAGATTTACAGATTAAAGTGTAAAATTTACACTTTGAAATGTAAGATTTACAGATTAAAGTGTAAATTTTACAGATTAAAGTGTAAAATTTACACTTTAAAGTGTAAAATTTACAGATTAAAGTGTAAAATTTACACTTTTTAAAAAGTGTAAAATTTACAGATTAAAGTGTCGAAATTAAAAAAAAGTAAAGTGTGCAAGTGGCACTAATACGCTTCCATACCTACTAAACATGATACATGAATAAGTTCCACTCTTTTTATAAACCACTGATTGACAAAAACAAAAGTCAAAAATCAAAACTGAAACAGTTTCAATATCCTGAAAAATTGAAGAAAAAAATTACAAAACAGTTAAGTAAAAGTTTGGGTAGGGTGCATTTTCAGTGGGTCGGTAGGCAACTGCAAACAAACAAATTTTTATTTTAGGCCTCAGGGGTTCTGGTGTTAGGGTGGGGCTACATAGATCATATATTGAAATTGCATTATTTCTTTGAAAATCTTCTCTGTTCCTGGTTATTAAACAAACTAACTAAGTACATAGTTATGATTTCCAAGAGTGCTTCTTCCAAAATTTTGAATTTCATGGCCCCTGGGTCAGGGGTTCTGGTGTTAGGGCGGGGCTCTAATGATATAGTGAAAATGCATGCATTCTTTGAAAATCTTTTTCTTTGCTCCTGGGTATTATGCCAATGATCTAAGCATAAATATTTATGATGAAGAAAGGTGCATCTAGCAAAATGGTTAATTTCAGGGCCCCTGGGTCAGGTGTACAAGGGGGGGGGGTTACATAGTCTGAAAATAAATTCTTTGATTTGGTATTAATCAACCATTTATGATGAAATAGATTTATGATAAAATTTCCAAAATTTTGAAATATGTAGCCCCAGGGTCAGTAGTTCCTGTGGGGTGTGGTGCACAACTGGTTATGAAGTGGAAATGCATTTTCTCATTGTTACTCTGATCTAACCTCTGGGTATTGAAGTAACCAGAGTAAGCATGCAAAGTGTATCATTATGATTAGCAATGCTGCCTCTTTCAAAATTGTGAATTTCATGGCCTCTGGTTTAAAACACGAACCAAATTCAATTGCTGGAAAGTTGTTACATGATACTCAGGTGACCTATAAGGCCCTTGGGCCTCTTGTTATGAAGTATACTAGTATAACACCCCAGCATAGATTAAAGGTGGCTCATAACTAAAGTATACATTCTGCTAGGTAGTGAAAAAGAGGAATAGCTTAAATAACTTATTTGCTGCTTTGCGACTATGAAAATTTGATAAAGAATCACTGGTTTAGTTTTTTGGTAAAGCTCTAGGGCATCAAAGGTAGTTGGAAATGTTGGATATTCCGATAATTAGCTTAACAGGCGAATTTATGTCCCTTGTTTCCAACTATCTTTGATGCTCTGGGATAACCAATTGGCACTTTTTGATTTGATATCTTTAAACTTCATAAGGGAAATTAATGTCTTTTTCTTTTATCATTATCATTGAAGCTGAAACACGGAAAAGATGGATTTCTGATCCTGAGTTCTGATGGACTGAACTTTGTTTTAAATGACAATGAGGTAGTGGACATAGTTGGTATTTGTCAAAACCCCAAGGATGCTGCCACTTTCATCACAGATCAAGCTCTGCAGTTTGGAACAGAAGACAACACAACTGTTGTAGTAGTTCCACTGGGAGCCTGGGGCAAATACAGAAACACAACCAGAACCATTCCGTATAGTTTTGGGAGGAATCTGGTGGGAGGAAGATTTGGGTAGCTAGTTTTACATGCCTTGCAATGGGAGATTATTGTATTTATTTGGATGGAAAGCTGTGAATTAAAATTAGGGTTTTCTTTAACTTGCATGAATTTAAATACAACATGTTATTTCAAGCAGTGTGCCATTGATGAAAAGTGGTATAGAATTTTGTAAAACGTATTAAATTGATCAAATTTAATATCAAAAGTGTAGAAATTGCATATGGAATTCTTCAGTGAACTTTTATGTGATGCAAATATGTCTTTCAATGTTTGAAAAACACCACGTACCTTAAATATCTCAGTTTCATCACAGGAAGTAAAATATCATAAACAAGGAGAACTGCACGAAGTGTCTTGATGCCCTGGTTAGATGAATGTAACTAACTAGGCTTAAAGGTTTTTTAGGAGTGCAGTTAGGCTATTTTTTAGGTGTGAAGTTCACTTTATCTTTCCCTTTTTAATTTTTTAAGAAAAATAGGCAGTGATCGTTTAATTAAGGGAACGTTACATGTAATAATTCTCTTGAACTGAAGTGTCTGATCAAATGTCTGGAGTCTGTCTGTCAGTGATGAGTTGTTTTTATCTGCAAATGTTCTACAAAGCATTCTTGAGCAAGGGAATTAAAGTTTGTTCACTGGAAATGTCACGCTGTCTTTTAGCTACAGAACTATAGCGTTATGGTTTTATATACACTCGACAAAATTGCTAACGCACCACTTGTTAATTCTTATTTGTGAATTGAACATTTGCTGGATTGGTATTAGTTTATATAATATGCCATTGTTTCCAAAACAGTGGGATTGACAAATGTCTTGGTATCCTGAAAAGACCCTCAAATGACCTTCTTGTCCGAAAACCAATTTCCATTTGTGCACTGCGCACCATTTTTGCCCAGATATGAAATTCTTGATCACTAAAGGTGGTCTGTGAGGTTGTCATAGGAGTAGTCCCCCAGTTATAAATCGAATAACAAACAGTAAATGACTCTCATATCGCCTAGTAATCATTAGGTACCCTGGTGTTCATACCAAATCCACTCAACTGCCGGTTGACCTTGTTTTATGTAACAATTTTCAACTTATTGTATGCTGCTAACTTAATGCCGTGGCTATCTATCGTAAACATTTTTATGTTTGGTAATCTATTTGCAACAATATTTCATGAGTGCAATTCATAAGCTTTTTATTGTTTTCATTTTTTACAGATTTCTCTAAAGTAACCTAGTGTAACTTAAAGTAACTTAGTCTAGTGTAACTTTTTCTAAAATTGATTTATTTTTTCGAAAATGAAATAGACACTATTTTATTTTTTCTATGAACTGGTCACACTTCAGTAAAGATTGTACTTAAACATTGTACTTATTTATAAGGTTTGACATTAATATGCCTTATTTTTTGTTAAACATGTTAAAGTACCATATTTATAATTCAAATACATCATTAACAGGCTTTTAAAAGTAAAATATTAATTCTCTTAGGTGGTGCGTCAGCAATTTTGTCTAGTGTATGTCTTTGACAGATCCCGTAATGCAAAAAAATTTGCAATTTACGGTGCAAGATTTTTTGCGCACTGCTTGGGAGAATTTCTCCACTTTCCAAAATTGGTAAATCATCTACTTTTTATCCCCTAATTTCAGACACATTCTTAAACCAATTTGTATATTTATCTTCCTCTCAACCCTTTATAGTCGCCTCTACAGGCGATAAATTGGCTTGATTTGAATTGTGTGAGGAATTGGAGAAAATTCTAATTCAAGCGATTTTATCGCTTGTAGAGACGACAATAAAGGGCTGGAGGTGTATAAAATATACAGATTTATTTTTAAAAATGTGACTAGAATCATGGTTGGAAAGGTAGATGATTGACCAATTTTGGAAAGTGGAGAAATTCTCCAAAACAGTGCGAAAAAATTTTGCTCCGTCATTGCACATTTTTTTTGCATCACGTGGGATCTGTAGCGTTATGGTCAAAGACTAATATATAAAACAATAACGCTGCAGTTCTGTAGCTAACTGTCTTTCAAGAGGGAGAAATGTAAAAAGAAAGAGGGCGTATAAGGCGTGGACAATCCCCCGCTCTGAGACAAAATGTTTCTCAATTTTCAAAATTCACAGAAAAGTTATATTTTTCTAAAATCATGTTCTCAATAATGTCATCTAAATATTTTATCATTTCATTTTACTGAACGACTTATTATTTGATAATCTTTATTTCAAAGTTGACAGTTATGCATATTCAGGTGTAAAATGGATTTACCAGAGCTATAAAAAATGAATTTTGAACATGAATGGGCCAAGTCTCCATTTTTCGTGAACGCTTACATTTTGGAAACGTAAAAATGTAAAATCTATTTCATTTGTTCAAAAAATGGAAATCGAAAATTTCTGAAAAAATGTACGCTTCAACAAACCCGTTCATTTAAATTACACTGACAGACATTGATAATGCATATTCTTCGTAGCGTAGTGGTTAAAGCGGTCGTCTTAAAAAAAAAAAAAAAAAGCGGTCGTCTTGGACCAAACCCTCCACTATGGAGAGAGTTCGAATCATACATGTACGTGAAACTTTTTCTTTTTTGTTTTCACATATCTTAAAAATATGAGTTAAAAATAAATTATTAATAAGATATTAAAACAATAAAATACAGAATTAAATGTGTAAAAGATTATATGTAAACAATATAATTTTGAAAAAATATTACTTTTAGGATTGAGAAATGTCTTTTCTCAGAGCGGGGGATTGTCCTCGCCTTGTACGCCTCCATTCTTAATGAAAGTTTGAAAGTGCCTTTGATTTTTTTTCTTCTCTAAAACCACTTGACCAGAAAAATATTAAATATCTGAATTTTTTCACATTGTAGATTTAAGTTTGTTAACGTCATGAATCACGGGGGTAGTGTGAGGCCACAATCGGGGATCAATTTTTATGCCCCACTTAATTGAATTTTAGAGGAGGTATATTGGAATCACATCTACTAGTATATGTGAAATATTTCATCGACATGAAAATAAATCCATGAGGAATAAGAGGTCCATTGAATAAATCACTCATCTGTCCGGTTTCACCTACGAGGGACGTTCAATAAATAATGTCATTAGCTCGATGACATACAACATTGTAGTCATATGACATAAAGCTTGACTTTCTCTCATTATTGAATCTTTAATGAATTCATAACAGTTTGTGTGACCACTTTTCATCGCATTATTTCATCGTGGGAAGCTGGAAAACAAGGGCTATTCGAGACACTGCATTAAAAATGAATGGTCAAGAATCAGTAAACTAGAGTAAAATTAAACGCTTCATTAAAGCAGCTGTAAAACTTGTTAATATCCCAAAAATATATTAGCTGAAATATGTGAAATTTACAGCAAACAATGCCTGTTTTATAGAAAGGTGAACAAGTAGATTTCAATAAACAAAAATTATATCATGGGCATCAAAAATGGGTACCGTCCTTGGCAACAATGACTTACAACAATCGATGTAAATTTGCGAAATTTTAATAAATTCTCACTGATTATGTTTTATTGACTTTAAAACACATAGCAGAATTGATAAAAATCATTTTGGGGATAGTTCATACTGTTTTAAAGAAACATTTTATAGTACAAAAGTTTAATACTCAAAGGTCACCCTATATTTTGAAAAATTAGTGAAAACGACATCGTGTAGGAATATCCAAACAATTATTTTTAAAAAATCAAAAATTTTACTTATCCACGTTTGTATGAAATTCTGACAGATAATGAAACTTGAATCCATTTTGCTGCAAGCCCTCAAAACAAATTTACAATAAGATGCACTTGACAGAACTGCAAAGGCCTAAGAAGAGCAAAGAATTGCAAGAGCATAAAACAGTTTTATATGCTATTTTCTTAAATATTAGCGGTCTTGTTGTTCAAATTCATATTCGGGGAGGAAGTTCAATTTCTGGAGGAGTCTAGAAAACAATTTTTTTTCAAAAAATTGAAAGGTTTATGAGATGAAGGAAACAGAATGAGGAATTCACTACATTAAATGTCTTCATGACGGCGTCCAAACCCACAGGCCAAGGAGAGTAAAGGAGTTTTGGGGATAAACAGAAAGTTAATGTTTTGTCACACCAACAAATTTTGCCAGATCTTTCAACCTTTGACTTGTTTCATTTCTTAAACTTAGAAAAACATCTATCAGAAAGAATAAAAACAAGTACAGAAAATCATAGGATTTGCCATATTCCAGTATACGAAGGATCATACTCAAAAATGTGTTCGAAAAACAATTAGAAGTTGAATGAAAATGTTACGAATATGCGTTTTAATTGAAAGATAATATTTTAGTTAAATCATTAAGATTAAGTCATAGAAAAGCGTCTTTTGTTTCTTTCCGAGCCCCAATGACATTATTCATTGAACGCCCCTCGTATTTCTCATGTAAAACTTTTATTGTACAAGCCCCAACCCTACTCGGAGTTGCATGTATGATTTGAACAAACTTGAGCTTACACAACCTGAGATTGTTTCCTTATAAATATGTTTAATCGTGGCCTTGATGTTCTTGACAAGAGGAATTTCACATCCTTTTCAAATATATTTTATAGGTCAACCTTTTATTTTTAAAGGTTTAATGACATCTAATTTTTTAAAATTAAACTTGAACTTACACTACCTGACGATGTTTCCATATAAATTTTACTTTGCTTTTCGCACCGTCCTCGGTTAGAACATCAAAAGAGATGTTTCCTGTAATATGTATTCCTATATTAAACTTTAATCGCCTCCATCCTTTCCGCAAGACAATAATTTGAAACAAATATAATATACACGTCTCCCTTGGGATGCTTTCACATAAAGATGACCATTTATTGATTTGTTGATCTTGACCTTTAAATAATATCCCTATATAAAATTTTATCTGTTGTGGCCTACAAACAATAATTTTGCAAATGAACAATAAAAGTGACAAATGAACACAGAGCAGTTAGGTGACTCTTTGTGTATCATTTAATTTTTGTACTGTTTCATATAAATTGGATTTAATTGATCATTGATATGAAAATATTGAAAAAAAGACATTTACAACAAGGTAAGTATCGCTCTTTTTTTGTAACCATGCATGAAATAATGCTAAAATTATTCCAGTGGGAGGAAAGCTATGAATTCAAGACAGGATGTCTGATGTAAAGCA